TCAGGTCATGGTCCCAGAGTCCTGGGATCAAGCCCCACATCAGGCTCCTTGCTTGGTGGGGAGCCTGCTTCTCCCTCTCCCACTCCCCTGCTTGTGTTCCCTCTCTCGCTGTCTCTCTCCCTCTCTCTGTCAAATAAATAAATAAAATCTTTAAAAAAAAAAAAAGACTTGCTAGACAGGATTTTTATCATTTTTTGGTCTAGCCACCTTATGAAGAGGCAAAACACTGTGGTAGAGCTTTAAAAAAAAATCACCTGAACTAGTAGAATTTACAACAGAATTAATGCTAAATTTGAACCCTTTAAAAATACAACAGAGAGGGGCCCGTGGGTGGCTCAGTCGCTTAAGCGTCTGATTTCAGCTCAGGTCGTGATCCGAGGGTCCTACGATTGAGCCCCTTTTTTGAGCCCCATGTCAGGCTCCCTGCTCAGCAGGGAGTCTGCTTTTCCTTCTCCCTCTGCCCCTCCCCCCTCTCATTCTAACAAATCAATATCTTAAAAAAAAAAGGTAAAACAGATACTTAATGACCTTAAAAGAATCACATTTTGCAAAGGACTACAGTATTTGTCATTTCATCGGGATTCTCACAACTATGAGAGTTAAGTTGGACAAGTAGTAGTATTATTTTACAAATAAGTAAGCTAAAGCTCAGAAAAGGTAAACATTTTGTATGGTCTAGATAGAAAGATCTTCTAACTCCAAGTGCTTCTTCTATCACATCGTTCTGTCAACAATTCTACACTTTATACTTTTCAAGTTGTTTCATAACAATTAATGTTTTGCCAAGAAAATTTGAAAATAATGAACACATAATGAAGGTTATGATCCTTAAAATGTTAAAGGGTTTTGTTAGAAATCTTGTTGTATGATGTATAATTTATCTAGATGAAATGGTTAACTCGGCCAAAATGAACTTGCAATCCAAGAAAAAAAATCTGTACTAAGTGAATCCCTTATCATCACTTATCATGATGAGGACTGAGTAATGTATAACAGATTGTTGTATCACTAAATTGTACACATGAAACTAATATAACACTGTATGTTAACTATACTGGAATTCAAATTAAAATCTTAATTAAAAAAATAAGTAAATCCAATTTTAAATCCTTAAATGTGAAATAATGTGACCCTACAATAGTATTTTTTTCACGAGTTAAAAACAAAAATCATGGGGTGCCTAGGTGGCTCAGTCAGTTGAGTGTCTGCTTTCAGCTGGGTCATCTCAGGGTCCTGGCCTCCCTGCTCAGCGCAGAGTCTGCTTCTCCTTCTTCCCTTCCCCCTGCTCCTGCTCTCACTCTCTCTCAAATAAATGAATACAATCTTTTTTTTTTAAAGATTTTATTTATTTATTTGAGAGAGAGAGAATGAGAGATAGCACAAGAGGGAAGAGGGTCAGAGGGAGAAGCAGACTCCCCGCTGAGCAGGGAGCCCGATGCGGGACTCAATCCCGGGACTCCAGGATCATGACCTGAGCCGAAGGCAGTCGCTTTAACCAACGGAGCCACCCAGGCGCCCAAATGAATACAATTTTAAAAGGAAAAAAAAAAAATTACTTCTAACTACCATTTATCTCAATCACCTAAGTTTATTCTAAACCCAATAAGGCAACTTATAAGATCTAATGATTCTTGATGACTGGGAAACCTAAGGAATTTTTTAGTCATTGAGAAATGCTAGCTTCCCAGGGATGATTAGGTTCAAAGACAGTTTGTTGTTTTTGTTTTTTAAGTAGGCTCTACACCCAACGTGGAGCCCAATGTGGGGTTTGAACTCACAACCCTGAGATCAAGATCTAAGCTGAGATCAAGAGTCAGATGCTTAACTGACTGAGCCACCCAGGTCCCCTCAGTTTTTAAATGTACATTCCTCTATATTTATTTCACCTAGATTTAATTATTACCAAACCAAGGAACAGTGAGGGCTGGTGAAACAAACATTTAACAAATGAAATTACTTAGGCTTGGATTACTGGCAGAATTTTTTAAAAACTCAGTTACATAATTAGTCATCAGGAAACTGCCCAGTAAACAGTACTTTGTGCTTCAGAGCCTATAAACTGTATACTATACCCTCACATCCCTAAGTCAGGTGGCAGACTGTCCACACTGGAGTTGCAAAGATGACCTAAAACTAGTTTTGCAACCTATTAGCTTGACATCCATTTTGAGGAAATAAAAACACCAAAGTGAAGCAGCTGAAAAAAGAATTTCTTTGGAAGAAGTTATTTGTGAAAAAATACTGTGACATTTTTTTGGTTCCCATTTTACCAAGCATGAGTAGCTCAAACTCAGACCTTGATCTGGTCCCCTGTAGACTATAAATATAGGATCTACGCTAAAGTCTAAGCCAAAGATCTACAGCCAAAGTCTAAGAGACTGTGGCTGTCTACCTGCTCAAAGAGAACAAAGAAAAATGGCTGCATTACATTGTTATTGGCCTGTAAATCCAGACTTTGTCAGGGCCAAGGATGTGAAGCTTTTTCCCGTGGACCTGATGATGGCATTGGTGTGGAGCCAGCTTAAAAAGGACTTTATCCAAGAAGCCTGTCTAGAGGCATTTGGATGCCATGGAGAGTTCACAGGGTGAAGAAACTAAAGGCTGGAGATTAAGGGCTGAGAGCAAATCTTAAGCAGCTGGCTAAGTATTGCCCATCGCGGCAGAGACTAACTCAGCAGCAGATCAGCAGTGAGACACACAACTAGATGTTAGGTGTGGCTTTGTGTCAGAGAAAGCAACATGAGAAAAAGTAATGTAGGTCACTTCCAGGCCTGGCCATATAAATGTCCCACATGTACTTCTTCCAACTCCATACACAAAGCACAGAGATCTTTACTGAATAGTTCTTACATACTGAATGCCTATTCTGAGCTGGGCTCTTTTTCATAATCTTATTCCAACATACCCATACCAAATGGTAACAAACCCAAATTATCAGATCCTGTCTCCTAGTCATGATTTCCAGATAGACACGAGAGCAACAGTTGGGTTATTTTCTTCTGAAGATATGTCAAAAACCTGGTCATCAGAGCTACTGTCTTGCTGGGGGAATTGGAGAGTATTAACGATGAGGGACTGTCCGTCCAGTTTTCCATGAAGTCTAGCGCACACTCTAGCCTTAGGAGCAATGGGACCCAAAGTCTTTATCTGGTTGCTTAAATGGCTTCCTTATAATGAATCCCCATCATCTGAGGTCATATTTCTTAAACTGGGGGACACAACTATGACTATAGTAAACTGGCTTTTATAAGCCACAAACAGTTTAAATCCCTAAAACAGCAATGTTTTATGATGTGGCAAATAATTCAGAAGAGTATCAAACATAGGCATATTATGAAGTTCAATACAAAAGTCACATGCATTTTTAAGGTAGAAGATTAGAAGAACTCAAAGAAATGTTACTCTTCTAAGGCATTAATGCACATCCACTTAGACTTTAAGCTGCACTGGAATAGGATCTCTTTACCCTCTTTATACCCTTTGTAGGTAAGCTAAAAGATGGCCCCCAAAGATATCCAAATCCTAATTCCTATGAGTATTTTCTCACATGACAAAGGGGTTTTGTAATTAAGATCTTGAGATGGCGAGATTATTTTAGATTATCTAGGTGGAACCTAAACGTAGGCACAAGAGAAAGGCAGAGGAAGATTCGACTACAGAAAACAGCGTGATGATGGAAGCAGAGATAGCAGTGACATGCTTGGAAAATGAAGGTACCACAAGCCAAGGAACATATGCAGCCACCAGAAGTTGAAAGGGGTAAGGAAATGAATCTTCTCTCAGAGCCTCCAGAGGGAACCAGAACTCAGAAGTTATTTAAGTTGAGCTACTTTTGCTTTAGGCTATCTACATCAGTCCAAGGTAAGAATACAGACCATCTGAGTAACACTTCTGCGTTTACAGGGAAAAACCGTCCTGAACCCTGGATGAATAGATAAGGGGGCCATATAGGCTTAAGAGTATTTTGGAGCTTCCAGACTGGTGAACAAGTGAAGATTGTGGAGAGTAGTGTGCCTACAGAGGGCATGGAAGCTTGCACCCTTTCTGCATACCTCGCTCTATGCATCTCTTCCATCTTGATGTTGGGTCATATACTTTATCATATCCTTTAATAAGCTGATAAATGCCCGCAAGTCAATCAAGATGCACTGGTGGAAGCTCTTCAGGCAGGGGTTATTAAAGCTGCAGTGCTGGAAGTGATGCAACCAGAGCCCCCGCCCAGAGATCCTCACTTACATCTCGCACTAGAAGTGCTACTCATCAAGCCAGACAACAGATGGCAGAAAATTTGGTTGAAAGCATCCTGGCTTCTCTCAATGGCCTTCCCATTCCTAATGAAATGCTACTTAAGTGATTCATGTAGGCTGAAAATTCAGGGGGAAGAAAACATAGATTAACTGGGGGAAAAAAATCTTTAAAGAGAAAAGAGGTAGTTCACATGTGGTACTAGGCTGCATGTGACCACTGCTTTATGTACATAGAATATATAAAACTACATATATAAAATTATCTATCTATCCATGCTATTTAACGCTCGTCTGGCCTCACAGGAAAGATTTTGATAAGCAAACACACATAGGTAGTTATCACCATTTATGCATAATTTATATATTATATCCATTCTCTCATTTGATCCTTACAACTGTAGGAAGTAGTCACGTAGTCATATCTGGTATCGATTTCAATTCTGCAGTTGAGGAAGCTGCGGCTCAGTGGGTGACTTGCCCAAAGGTTAGGAAATGGCTCCTAGTCCAAGGTCTTCTACTAGATGATTTTACATCGATAATACCAATTCACTTATAAGTATGTTGTATTAACTTCTAAAATAACTTCAAGTTCGGAAAGAAAACAGAAGCAACATTTTACAACTTAATAGCGCATTTTAATTTTACGTCTTTGGAAACCACTGTTTATCAAGAGACAAGCTGAAGACAACAGGTGGACGAGTTACTAAGCAGTCTGTCTCTTCACATGAAAATGAGAACAGTAAGAGTACCTACCCTTTAGATTGCTATGTGGATTATATAACCCACGTCAAGTGCTTAACATGGCTGGTCTCACAGTTTGTATTATACATTACAGGACGTCTCTTCCCAAATGAAAATCTGCTTTCTGACTTCAAAAATTTACAAACTCAGGTGATAAGAAAAATGAGAGTTGCAGGAGAAAAACAAAAACGGGTCCCGGGTACCCTTCCTTGAACAGGAGGCGAAGGGTACTTCGCTTCTACAGAAATGTGAGACAGAGGAGGCGATGGGGCCGGCGACAGCGACACCAACACCCAACCCGCGGAAGACGCGCGGGGCAGGGACAGAGCGGATGTGGTGCAGGGGCTCCCACCCCGGCACCAGAATCCCCAACACGTGGCTCCCTCCTCCCACCCCCACCCCACTTCCCTCAGAGGTCCTCGTGCCAGAGAATCAGCGACTACGGCCTTCTAGACTCAACCCGCACTGTCGCCGTCGGCGGAGAGAACTGACCATCCCGCGGACTAGCCCAACCCGACCCTATGAAATATACCTCAACTGCAAGCCCACAACGCGCGCAGGAAGAAACGCTAGCTCAGTCTCGGTGCGCTGCTGACGACCGGAAATCCACCCCCTACCTCTCTGATAGGGTAAACAAGCAAAGGAAAATGCAGAGCATTGGTCAGCGGCAGATAGGCGGGGAAAGAGAAAGAGGCGGGATGGGGAGGGGCGACGAATTGCCAAGAGCCAGCCTCCCTGCGGATTGGACGAAAGCAGGACGTCTGCGCGTGCGTAGACCCAGTTTCCTAAGGCGCCGCACGGCACCTCCCCTTTTACGGTTCGTTAAAGGAAGTTTCAACGACTCATTGGTTGTGACGAAGGTTGTGTCTCCTGGCTGCGTGGCCAATAAAGGGCAAGAATAAAGCAGGTTCCGCCTCTTCCTCGGGCGACTGCGTTCTTCTGTTGACGTCGGGCAACGTGAGTTCCTTTCTTGCTTTTAGACGCTGCAACTTCCACTGGGCCAAACTCGAGTATAGAATTCTTATGGTGACTAGGAGACTTCTGCTGCGAATAAGAAATACTTAATAGTTAGGGCCCTGAAATACCCACATACTCCGAACTTCTAAGGATGACTTCAGTGTTGGAACGCAAAGAAACCTGTCCTTCATGCCCTTTTTTGTGTGTGGCTGTGTCATTGGCTGAAATAGCTATCAATTTGAAAGTAGCTCCGCCTGCGCCCCCTGGGAACTCTGGGATCTGTAGTATCAGACGCTCAAGCCCTGTAGCTTTAAATGTGTTTCTTGCTACTGAGTTTTAATTTATTATCGTCACCCGCTGACGTCTACTGTGGTTTGATGTGTTCCGTTGCGCTTTTTATCTTTTCACTGATCAGCACCGTTAAAGCCAAAGAACACTTAGGGAAACTGAAAAGACTTCATGTGTGTTTGTAAAAATAAATAGCGTTTCGTGCATTTTACGGCTTGTGCTTGTGCTAGATACTCGTAAATACAGTACTAAGATTCTTGGTTTGTAAAATTTTTGCTGTTACCACAAAACGGTGTTTGATTTTCAGATTAGTGTACATTGGAAAATATTTGAAAGTACTCTAAATGTGGCAATTATATATACTATTTTGGCGTAGGTAGCCTCTGCTTACATAAATCAAGTGTTGATATGACAAGAAGCAGAACTGGCTGCTGTCTTGACAGGAGAATAGTGCTGTAGTTAAAATGTCAAGCGTGACCAATCTCAGCTTACACGCACTGTGTATTACTCAAGACTGTATTATGAAGTCCATTTTCAGTCTATCTGGAAACATTATGTTCAAGTAAGGCCGGGTTTCCCTACCTTTATTAAATCATGAACTTTCACTGCCCTGAGCCCATAGGGTAATATTTCATCACTTTTGTGCTTGGCAAAAGTAGAAATCGATCTATAAACACCAAAAATTTTCCCTGAGTGGTCTTTTCCCTCTCGACAATCGTTTCCCTATTTAATATGTAATACAAACTGTTCCATTTGTGTAAGAAAAAACATGATTTGTGATATATAATAGTTCTACTTTCTGGATTTAAAATTAAGTACATTTTGTAGGATTAAAGCCAAGCAAAAACTGCTTTTATGACTGATGCTTGGAATTACTGCATTTTAAAAAAATAAAATTATTTTTATAATTTTTTGTGTCTTCTTTCTAAATGACAAGAGAAGGTGTCAGGTTGTAAATGAAACATGGAAGATGTGATTTCTTTTTATTCTCAGTAAATGAAGAGTCATACTAAGTGTAATCACTATTTCTCCTTTTCATATTCTGTATGATGAGCGAAGTGAAATCTATGCATACAAAAGTCACCCTGAGGCAAAAATTCAGAATTATCAGTGTTTTTAAGATTTTATTTATTTGTCAGAGAGAGAGCACACAAGCAGGGGGAGCCGCAGGCAGAGGGAGAGGCAGGCTCCCTTCTGAGCAAGGAGCCTGATGTGGGACTTGATCCTAGGATTTTGGGATCACCACCCGAGCTGAAGGCAGATGCTTAACTGACTTAGCCACGCAGGCATCCGCAGAATTATACGTTTTAATGCTTCCCATTAGCATTTTAATACTATTTTTCCTTTTGCCTCCTAATTTAAGTCAGTGGTCCACATTTGGGATATAAATTAAATTAATATGACCAAGAATAAAAAAACATTAAAAACTGCAGGTGTCAAGACTGCTACTGTAGTTAGCAGTGTTTAGCAGAGTCAACTGAGTGACTGAATCATGAGCACGTTTGGCTAATCTGTATTAACTGTCCTAAGTGCTTACTCTTTTGGAAGCTCCTAAAGTGTTCCACTTAAAGAGAAAAGCTTAGTTATTTCTTCAGAATTTAAAAACAGGTGCTCGCTTCGGCAGCACATATACTAAAATTGGAACGACACAGAATTTAAAAACAGAAATGAAAACAGATACCATTACTGCCTTTTAAGATGTGAACCCTGGAATCATTTTTGTATCGTGTCTGTTGAGAAATAGGTTGAAGAACAACCTCAAAGTGAGATAAATGCAAGAAGAGTCTTGAGATGCAGGAAGAGAATATTACAACTTCTATTTGTATTTACTTTTTAATCTCAACATTTTTCTTTCCATTTTTGTGTTTTAAAAAATTATGCACATGATAGAACAGTGTAAATTTCTTGAAATCTAGCTATCTCATTTGGAGTGAATGGTAAAAAATTTGTGATCAAAATAGTCTGGGGGGTGTTAAAGAAATTATTCATGGTACTTACTAAAGACAGTGAGACAGACTTTATTCACGGGGAGCTACTGTGGTGGGGTTTTATAATAGGGGAGAGAGATTGAACTCAACTCTGAATACACAAGTGGGAATTTATAGCCAATGGGCAGGGTGTGGGGGTCAGTGGATGGAAAATTACTAAGAGGAAACAGGGTAAGGGGGATTATTGCTAGACTGAGTTAGCAGTATTCTTACTGAAAACAGACTAGGGTAATCAGACATCACCTGGGGGTTGGTGAAGGATGAGGAACCCAGTCAGATAGGGTCAAACTGTTAGCATTCTTACTAGAACTGAACACCACAAGAGAGGACATGGGAGCCCAAGGTCAGGCCCTACTCAAAAAGAGAACAAGTATATATGTAGACCTCCAGAGACACTTCTATATACACACAGAAATATTTGTATTTGCTATTAAAATACAAAGTCCAAATTGCACATAATACTTAGAAATACTCATGTTCAGTCACCGTATCAAGGCTCAACCAGAGAAATAGAACCAGTAGGAAATATATATTAAGAAATTTTTTGCAAGGACTTGACGTGCACAGTTTTGGGGGCTGGCTGGGAGCAAGTCTGAAATCTGTAGAGCAGGCTGTCAGGAAAGGCAAGCTGGAATTCTCAGGCATGAGCTGAAGTTGTAGTCCACAGGCACAGGCGGAATTTCTTCTGGAAAACCTCAGTTCAGCTCTTAAGGCCTTTCAGCCAATTGAATCAGGCCCACCCAGATTACCCAGGATATAATCTTTATTTAAAGTCTACTGATGATAAATGTTAATTACATCTACAAAATGCCTTTACAGCAACACGTAGATGAAGAACTTCAAGTTTGAGAGTGAAGGTGGGGGTTTGGTGGTCAGGCCTGGAAGTCATTCCAGAGAACCACGTTTGACATAGTGTCTTGTATTTGTGGGAGTGGATTAGTATAAGCATACAGAATGTACAAACCATTCCCGTTTTCAACTCTCCAGTAAAATACATCTAAAGGGAACAGCCTTACTTCAAACTTCATTCCAGCCTGCTTCCTTAACTCCCTGTCTCATTTGGCTGGCTAGTCCTTGAGACCTTGGCCTAAGAGCCTACGTTTGAAGCCTCTGGCTTCATTCCTAAGCACCATATTCCTTTGTCCAACTCTTGAATCCCAGAGCCCATTGAAGGTTTCCCAGTAATACGGAAGACCTATGCCCAGGCAAGCATGCTTTCAATATGTAAGGGGTACTTCTGGCAAGCTACCAGCTCTGGCACTTTTGAAAATGTCAACAAGATGCCATTGAAGCCAGAGGGTGGGTGGTGAGGACATCCTGTGACAGGTGCCAGCTGGTTCACACCAGTCCCCATGACAAACTTTTTTTCAGTGGCGGTATTTTACCTCAGTTTTAAGATGGACTTTATTATTACTCCTTTCAGTTTAGACTGACGAAGGTTGTAGAAGAGGCAGGGCCAGTACTGAAACAGATAATTATGTTCATCAAAAACAGCACCTACTGCCAAAAACCCTCTTGACAGAGCTGCTTAAAGTGAATTGACTGGTTTGAGCTGTATGTTCTCTTCCTGCCACTTTGAAGTTAAAAAGAATGAACAAATAGTAAAATAGCACACTAAGTGGGGTTAAAAGGGGAAGAGAAAAAGGCCAGAGTATTTGACAAACTAGTCTTTGGGTCTTTTATTTAATTAAGAATTAGGATTATAGTTTATTTTATGCAGAGACATATGGTTAGGACTGAAACAGCTTGGGGTCTTAATAATTGCTATGGGAAAATTCACTTTTTTCTTGAATAAGATATGAAAATGCCTATTTGCCCATGCATGTGAGGTGATTCAGAGCTTATGGCAAGATTAGCTCTAAAAGGACATAGCTGAAAGAGTTAGTTATTGAATTGCTAAGATGAATGCCACTACACATTTACATCCTCTCTTTTCCTCCTCCTTGCATCCAATTGATACTAATTTTACTCTTCAGGGTACTTTTAAGAACGTTCAGTTTGGGAAAGTTCCATCATACACAAAAGTAGAAAAAATGGTATCACAAACCCTTAGGTATATGACCCTATCACCCAACTTTAACTGATGGCTAAACTTATTTATATCTATGCTTGCACCCGTGTTCCTGTCACATTTCCTATC